ACCTTTCTGGGGTGTATTCCCACTGAAAACAATTCTCGACTTTAGAAAGACTAGCTAGGGATACATTGGCGTATCCGGTTGAAACGGTTGAACCGGTTGAATCTGTAAAGAAAACGACAGGTACAGATCTGAACCGAGGCTGACCTCAGGAAAATTCAGCACGTGTAGATTGAGGGGTCCAGACGTATACCTGGCCAAAACTAAAATGCTGACTATTGCCAGTTTGCATTATTTCTTTCTAAAACAATGTCAAGTCATGATCACATGTATTTTTTAAGATACCTTATGTAATTCAGTGGACGCGTGAGAGAAGGGCATAATATTCTTGATACATTGTTTTTTATTCTCCGAAACTGTGCATTTTTAGCTCTGCTTATAGAACGGTCCAAGTGCGTTCATTTATCGTGGAATATTTCTGCGCCACACGTACCGTTTCAACCGGGATACACGAATGTACGCCTAGTACAGTGATTTGTGCTAAATATCACTTCTCATTAATTAGAGGAAAACATGATTTTATGACAATTTTTCAGCTGTGAAACCTGTGCTAACCCTTTTGTAAGAGGAGCAAATTGATTCAAGCACCTGTGGCCTACTCATATATTGTAATTTTCAGTTTGCAGACATAAAACAAAAACCTGAATATGGAATGTAGAAGTAAGTATAAAAGAGACAGATGAAGTCTATAAAAGTAACGCTATATTCCAAACCATAATCAAACACACAAACATTAACACTTAAAGGCATTCTCTAATTTATGCGGTTGACCTCAAGCCAGTAATACAACAGAACAGTTCCTATAACATCTATTTTCCCATGGACTGATGAGTTTGACAATTAATTAAAATAAAATGTCTGAGATTTCTGAGAATCTTCAAATCTACATTTTGTTTTTCATTTGTTTCTCTTTTTAATCTTCAGATTATTAAATTCAAAGCTTTGTGCAATCGTCCAATTTCACTTGTGTATCCAAATACATGTACCGGTATTTGAAAATACATTGGATGCAATTTACCGTATGTTAACATGTTATTAGACTGATCTAGCTGGCCTAAGTTTTTATTCTCGCAAACTGGTTACAGTGTAGAGAATTATATACATATTTATAGTACAGTTTACATATAAATCATGGTTTTAATGGACAGTGTTAATTCGCTCAATTATGTGCTTAAGGAATTTTATAAGTGAAATTAATTCTTCATTATTGAAAGTACTAGGACTTTCAAAATAATATCTCGACATAAATTTTCTTCTGTTTTGCAGTATCTAGTGGTCATTACAATTAAACAAATAATGATATTCGTCTCCAATTTCATTTAGGTCACAAAAAACACATTTTCTATCTTCTCTTGGAATCTAACATTCCATCTACCACATTAAATCGGAAATTTAACATTACAAATTTTTAATTTACAATAAACATTTGCTAATCTTGGAGGGAGATCTAGCAGGTATTTTTCTAATACTAAATCATTTTTAAAAATTCTGTAATTGGTCCATTTAGGTGAATTGAAAACATCGCTTCTCCAATTGTTAATTTAGGGAGAAGTACATACCACTTGAAAGAGCAAAAACAATCTGAATTTATAGTTGGTAGCTTGTGCAGCAAGAATATCAAACAGAGAGGTGAGATTATTACTCCAGACATTTTCACTTGAACATCGTTGTATTATGAAAAGGTATAAAAATAGATTGAGCACTATATTTTCAAACAGGACAGAAAATGACATCAATCGCAACACAGTGTTTTGTATCCAACCAGTTATCTCAATATAGAGAGTAAAAGATACAATCATTTACAGGTGTACATGTAATGTCAACCATCTAAAGCTATATCACAGTACTTTGTAAGAACATGTATTTAAAAATATGTAAAAAAAACTATAAATAATTTTCAATCTTTGAAAAACAACATTTTACACATTTAAAATTTAATATTTTATCATTATTATAAGTGTTGTATGGAAAAAAATCTGTCAATATGAAAAAAAATATGAATAAATAAAACCAAGCACACCAGTGGTTTGCATGTTGACAAGTAGTGGTACTAAAGTATTAAAAACAACTGGTAATTTGAGTGTATGAGATTGCTACCGGTACAATATACACTTAATGGCATTTCAATGGTAAACCCAATATAATAATGTCCAAGAAAAAGACAAATGTACTGGTAAATTCAAACTGCTCTTTGAGGTATTAATAGTGTGTAAAACTGTTATTTAAGGTTAATTTTGGAATGCTTTTGAAGAAACATTTAAATATATACCAGATCTGAGTTAATATCGGGAATGTGTCTTAAGTATTATGCACATTATAATTTTGAATGTGTTTACATGAACAACTACTGTATAGATATATTTCTCACTAGATTTATTAAGATTTTTTCTATTAATTCACTTGACCTTGATTATTCAAGATGAATTTTGTACAATAATTAGCTTTCGGTAACAAGCTAAATCAAGGGGATATGCAATTATACAACAGCGTATTTCATAAGTGACTATGTTTTTTTTACATGTTTATGTTTTTATAGTGACTGTTTTTCCCTGTTATATGTAAGTGTTCATGTTTCTGTTCTGAAAAAAAGGGGCGGATCACCCTGAAAATTCGATGAATTCCTTTATCTGCACTGTGGTGATCATTTTGAATTTCTTTGACGATATATATGCGTGTGTATGTGTGTACAATTTGAATATATATGCATGATGGTTTTGGATTTCATTTCTGCCTGTGGAAATGTTTTGGAAATAATCATATAAAATATCTACTGCTCACTTGAACACTTTCATTGAGTTCGATCTATAGTCAGCAATTATAAGTCTTGCTGTAATTGTACATAGACACTGGAACTCTGACAGGAATATGAAGTATTCTTCTTGATGCTTTAATCACAGAAAGTATCATAACATTACCGTAATTGCACATGTAAATTTGGTGGTACACAATTTGTATAATCAAGCTTACAAAAAAAATATGTGATTTCAAAATGTAAATAAAAATATATATTCTGAAATGCAACAAAAATCTTGCATAGCATTTAATGTTCAATGTTTGTCATCAGCGCTTTTCTTGGCAATGCAAATTCAAAAATAGGTTTAAAAGTTGTAATAAGATGTGTTTGCTTGTCCCTCAAATTGGAACGGCAGAGGTTAGAGGTCATTTGACATAGGTCATAGGTTAAGAAACATGCCAAATGTCTGCCATGGTTTATCACTGTCTATATGATGGTGCATGGACATTACCCGGTACATCATTTAGTGATGACATGAACAAGGGATTTTTTTCAGTTGTTAAATATATAAATTAGGAGCCTTGACAAATAAAAAAACCATTTTTTTTCATTTGACCCCTCATTCTAACCTTGACCTTTGGGCAAAGATACGAACACAGACTTATAAATGATCTTATTATGGCTGGCTAATAAAGAGCATAAATTCCATATATATAAAGTTATACTTGGTGAAATTGATGTTACTAATACAAATATTTCATTTTAACTTCATTATTATGTATTTATGTATCATATATGTACATAATGCTGAAATTCGCTTCTTTCCTCATTTCAAAGCAAAATAAAACAGTGGAAAAACAGGTGCAGGCCGCAAAATCGTTAACTGTTTATAGGTCATACTCTTTCTTGAATTTCATCTGATTACCACAATCTAATTACAATAAATCATTAACAAAGCTCAATCAACAAAACAAATATTCTTTTCTCAAAATTGGTGCAGGACAGAGGACGTGCAATATAGGAAAAAGTATGTTAAGTGAAACACACTGTCGGAATATTTTTGTGCAGTCATACAACTTGCATAGTAAAAGAGTAAAAGAGACAAAAAGCCTACGAAAACAACAATAAAAAATGTGATATATAAAAATGCAAACAACAATAAAAAATGTGATATATAAAAATGCAAAGTATAAAAATTGAGATTTCTTACAATGTATACATGTATAATCTAGAACCTACAACATCCTGTTATTTTCATAACCGTAATAATTGTATCATTGCTATATCAGGAAATTATCACTGACATTGACACCACACTTCTTCTAGCCTATTAACAAAGCTTACAGCTTTGCCGTATAAATCTTAAAATAATCCCAGGGGTCAACACCTAATCTCTGACTCAAAGTAGAAAGCTGGGCATATTACAGGACAGTGAAATAACATTGTCTATGAATATGGACGGGCCTATTATCAGGCATGGGCTTATTAATTAACAATACAGTATTTTCTATATATATGTGCTTGTATATGTATATAAAGAGAATATATAAATGGATTAAGTACAATGAGTACAGTCATTGCATTTAACCAGAGACATTTTCATTTTTACTGATTAAACATACTCTTTTTTTCTCTCAACCTTATAAAAATTGCATCAATAATGTCATTCAATTGTGACAGCATAGTCTAGTACCTGCCCAGGAGCACAGTATATTTTTGGAGCATTGTAGCTGCCTAGACAAATAATAGCGCTGTGCTAACAAGAGAAGTTAACTGTTGTCAATGACTATACTTATTAGCACCTACATTTTAAAAATATTAGGTCCCAATACATGTATCACCAACACTTTGCGTCTGCCTCAGGTTGAGTTCAAACTTAAATAATTAACCTCCTAATACCAGGTACGTTAAAGACTTAAGTTTTAGCTCATCTTGGAACTGCCTTAAAGTGTTGGTGGTCGTCTCAAGGCCAGGATACATCTGTGATTGATATTGTTAGTCATCAATATTCTCTGTAAATTGTAATTCCAAGTATAAGTGACACCTGATGCAAGGTATTCATATCTTCCATGAATACAGTGACTCCTGGTGTAGGTTATTAACATTTCTTAATTTTCCATACCTATTCCGTCTTTTCGTATTGCAGAGTTATCTTCTCTTGTGAGCAGGTATTGATTGTTACGTCATTTGTTTGTGAGATTACCGTCATCAATTTTTGAGAAAACGGCTTAATTTTCTCACACAAACCAATGACGTAACAATTAATACCTGCTCACAAGAGAAGATAACTCTGCGATACGAAAAGACGGAATATTACTGTAATGAGAATCTAATGCTGTGATTGGCCAACTCAATGACACAACTCAACATTGTATTATGGTGTCTGACCTGCCCTGCAGTGGAATGTACAGTCACTATCTCGGGGTCATAAATATTATTGACCTTAGAAATTCAAAGTGAGGCTCACTATTATGACATCATAGACTGATATAATGCCGAAAATGCTTTGTTGACATCTTGAAACAGCATTAATGAGAGCTGCTGGTGAAGGCTCAATATGGTGAAATTTAGACCTTCGACCAGTTACTCCTGTCAGCCTCTGTGAGATGAGTCCAACTTTGCGTAAGTGGTCTTGGATCTTCGTTTCACCATATTGATCAATTCAGAAATTAGCTGTGTATAGAATAACCCCTGGTTTGCATCAGTTGTGACCTCTGTAGATAGAGTTTCCCTTAGTACCCATGTAACCACCCCAGTTCTGTTTGTCCATAGGTAACAACTGTCCAGTCCATTCTTGATGCTGGTCAGTGATGGATGCTGGGTTCAAACTGACTCGCTGAGACACGTCGCCGAGGAGGGGAGCGAGGCTGATCTTTTGTATAACTGTCAGAGACTTCATCTCTGTGTAGCTGTACCCTGCATCCACAATCGGTCCAACAAGATCCACGATGGAAATGACGTCTAGTTGACCATCACCGTCGACGTCACCAACGGCAGCTGAAGTGGACGACACCGAAAAGAAAGGTAAGTAGAGACCCCTTATTACACACCGAAAAAGCAACAAGAGCATGCAAAAGTGTCAACAAAATCTCAAAAGCAAAACCAAACCAGGGCAACATATGTACAAAGGAAAGATTTACATGGAGACCCTTGACAAAGTACACGGAGAATAAGACCAGATGTTCTGGAAAGGTAAACCTCTTCTGCTTCAATGACTTCTCCCGCCAAATCAAGCTACCTTACTTTGAGCACAGTTCAATTATTCAATTGCTGCATTGTAAAACTAGTTCTCTCATTTTCATGTGTGTAAGATAGAGTTGTTTAGGGTAAGAAATGGGTGTAGGAAATTTCTTTCCTACACCCCATATCACGTGACGTGATGAAGTGACGTCACGTATTTGAAAACTCCGATGCCGCAATGCGGAAAAGGCGACGTGATGAAATTAAAACCTTTTACAATATATTTACCGTACAAATTAGAGGGATGAGATTAATTTTTCAGTGCAGAGATTGTTTGCAAATATGAGGTATGCTAAATCTGACTGACTAATTCGTATTTTGTTTGAAAAGCTCAGGGGCAAAATTGATATTTTCAAAATGGTAGCCAGTCCAAACGCATTTTCATGGTTTCTGAGCTTATTCTGGTAGTTGGAATGAGAGTAAAGTACTCTTTCTGCCCAGGGGTGTAGGATAGGGAAATTCCACCCAAATTTGAAAATCCAAAGGATGGAATTTCCCGTATTCACACCCCTGGGCATGAAATAGTCGTTTAACTATCACACCAATGCCATGCTAGAATGTGAAATATCAAAGCTGTTAAAATTACAGATCTTCAAAGGAATGTTTTTGAATATTCTCCACATTTTTACCCTCTTTTTGGCAGCTAATAGATCAACAATTAGAACAACTCTGAATTTTCTTATTAATGAATTGGGCATGAATTGGGCAAACATTTTCTTAAAGACCTTAAATTTATAATTTAGGAAAGCAATACAGGTATATAAATTGCATACCAGGTAGGTAATACTTACATATAATGTTTTGTAAGGTGCTGAAAGTTCATGACTTACCTGTAGCTCGATCTTCTGGGATCAGTACCACACACATGGTCTGGTTTTCCGATGATAAAGAATCCTTTTCACGGCGAACTGTTAAAAAGAACGGAAAACATAAACTGCACTGCGACATGAGAAAATGGTAGCTGTATATGGCTGGAACATTACATACCAGTGCATCACTGACTTGCAACCTCAGTACCTGTGTTTACATCCTCGACACTCCCAAAGGTTACACTCATTACTGCTCTCTCACGACACCCCTAAAATATGTTGTGACAGAATTGAAAGCTGACTGTATGCACCACCATATGGACATACAAGTAGCTATATAGACTAGTCTGATCCTTTGATGTACATCAAAAGAATTGTGTGGTAGATATAATGGTAAAATTCGCTGGCTTTGATGTCAAGTGTCGCTCCTCTGTAATTCTCAAAGCACAGGTATCAGCCTAGCGATTCGTTGGTTTTTTTTTTACTTGAGACCGATTGCCATGACATATTCTGGGAGGGCAGAGAGCTTAAGTGAGCATAAACCCCTGGAATTTTAAGGATGCTACTGTATGTGCGTTATTGAATACCGTAAAAACCCATGTAATTTGCGCACCTATGTAATTTGCGCGGCTGAAAATCCCCAAAAAAACTTCCACTCAAATATTTTGCCCACCAATTTTTTTTTGAAAAAAACCCAACATGTTCAAGTTCCGAAAATCAATCTCTGAAAATGAAAGACAAACCGCTTGGGATTCTTAGAATTTTTGTAATTTGTTTATCATAAGTGAGTTCATAAGTATTGTTTACAGGTACAATGATGTAAAAACTAAGATGAAACTGTACAATGTGTATTTTGTTGTACTGTACAGACCTTGGACCGTTTTTCTTTACCAAAAGTGCGTTGCGTTTTTGTTGCATTTCCGTTGCGTTTGCGTTGACCGTTTGTTGTGCGTTTTAACTTTAGCGTTGAATGTGCGTTGAACATGCGTTTTGCTGGTTATGTAAGAAAACCATCGATGTGCAGGTTATTTTAAGAATATGTGAGTGCTGATTGTTTTAATATAAAAAAAAATTAGTTATATGGATAATAAAGTTTGCAAATTAAAAACAAAATAAATATACAAATAAAATAGATAAGAACGTGAAATAATCGGTGGGAAGTTTAGCAATGACTTCTATTAATATTCAAATATTTGGGCTGCGTCGTGTGCTGATTGATGGATGCATGTCTATACACGTACCTTAATTGGCCAGTGAAATTTTAAGTAGAAAGTAATTTAGTAATTGGTTATTTGTATATTTTAAATATTTAATTTCTATTCTTTTATCATTCTGTTCATATGAATATATGAATCAAATTACACTAAATCTACAAATACTTCCATCACTGATGGGCTGATGGTTTCGTAACGACACCAGGGTAGTCTGGATTGAAGATATATAATAAGTGTATCTAAACGGCGAGTTTCATTTTATAAAATATTTGTAGTTCTATCTCTATGTGTGTATGGTTTTTCGTTAATTTTATTGTCTATATTGTGGGTTTTGTTTACATCCAGGTCGACTTATGTAAGACCTGTCACGGAATTAGATTGTCATCAAAGTCTGTGGTCCTGTGCTCGACACGCAACATGTATCGGGGGTGCTGCCTGCGAGGTTCGAGAGGTACACAGGCCCCTGCCAACATTGACAATAAATTGACTTTGCTTACGCCGTTGAAAATCATTGAGACCTAGCAACTTTACTAGTTGTGTATTCGGTATTTCTTTAAGTTGAATTAAGAGGACACATTATTATTAATTTTTAATATTTAATAAAATGGTGATGAGTATTCAAATAAGAATTTAAAATATTGAAAAGACAAAAACTGCCACAAATGAAAAAAATATCATTAGATAATTAAATTGAATAAATCAAACAAATTAATTAATTAATTAAATGAAATAAAAATAATGAAATAAATAAATAAAACAAATTAATTAATAAATCAATAAAATGAAAATATTGAAATAAATTGAATGAACATTTTAACTTAAATAAAATAAATAAATGCAGGAGGGTATAGATGGTAAATTCAGGTTACATTTGAAGGTGATGTAGAAGAGTGTAGGTCGTAAAGGAAGTATAGGTGATGTAGGAGGGTATAAGTGGTATAGGAAGTAAATGTGATGTACATATGCAGGAGGGTATAGGTGGGATAGGAAGTATAGGTGATGTAGGGGGATATAGGTGAATGTAGTTAATAAAGCTGATGTAGGAGGGTATAAGTGGTATGGTATAAGAAGTATAGATGATGTATGAGGGTATTCCGTCTTTGCGTATTGCAGAGTTATCTTCTCTTGTGAGCAGGTATTGATTGTTACGTCATTGGTTTGTGAGAGTAACGTAATCAATTTTTGAGAAAACGACGTAATTTTCTCACACAAACCAATGACGTAACAATCAATCCCTGCTCCCAAGAGAAGATACCTCTGCAATACGCAAAGACGGAATAAGTGGCATAGGAAGTTAAGGTGACGTATGAAGGTATAGAAAGTAAAGGTGATGTATGAAGGTATAGAAAGTAAAGGTGACGTAGGAAGGTATAGAAAGTAAAGTTGACGTAGGAAGGTATAGAAAGTAAAGTTGACGTAGGAAGGTATAGAAAGTAAAGGTGACGTAGGAAGGTATAGAAAGTAAAGTTGACGTAGGAAGGTATAGAAAGTAAAGGTGACGTAGGAAGGTATAGAAAGTAAAGTTGACGTAGGAAGGTATAGAAAGTAAAGTTGACGTAGGAAGGTATAGAAAGTAAAGGTGACGTAGGAAGGTATAGAAAGTAAAGTTGACGTAGGAAGGTATAGAAAGTAAAGTTGACGTAGGAAGGTATAGAAAGTAAAGGTGACGTAGGAAGGTATAGAAAGTAAAGTTGACGTAGGAAGGTATAGAAAGTAAAGGTGACGTATGATGGTGTAGGTGGTGTAAGAGGGTATAGATGATGTAGGAGGGTATATGTGATGTAAGAGGGTATAGATGTTGTAGGAGGGTATATGGGGTATAGGAAGTAAAGGTGACGTAGGAAGGTATAGGAAGTATAGGTGATGTAATAGGGTATAGTTGGTGTAAGAGGGTATAGATAATGTAGGAAGGTACATGTGGTATAGGAACTAAAGGTGATGTAGGAGGATATAGTTATTTAAGGGGATGTAGGAGGGTATAGGTGGTTATAGGAAGTATATGTGATATAGGAGGGTAAAGGGGGTATAGGAAGTAAAGGTGAAGTAGAAGTGTTATGGTGGTATGATAGTAGGTAAAGGTGATGTAGGAGGGTATAGGTTGTATAAGAAGTATGGGTGATGTAGGAGGATATAGGTGTGTAAGAGGGTATAGATAATGTAGGATGGTATAAGTGGTATAGGACGTATAGGTGATGTAGGAGGGTAAAGGTGGAATAGAAAGTAAATGTGATGTAGGAGGGCAAAGGGGGTATAGAAGGTAAAGATGATGTAAGAGGGTATAGGATGTATAGGTGATGTAGGAGGGTATAGGTCGTATATGTATGCATTTATATGTCACGTAAATGTATTCAAGGATCAATCAAATATCGTTACCCGAGTCTTACTGCCAATAATGATGCATGCATCTTCAGCTGCCTATATAGTGAGGTGTATTTTTATATTTTTTCTTATAAATTAACGTTTCTGTGTCAATGTATCACGATTTAACAAACCAACACAAACTTTCTCCAATACCATGGACTAGTCTCTGTTATCAAATGCTTTCAAACGTGACTGCATCGTCATAGTTAGATTCACCAGATATGTTTTAAAGCTCTTTAAGCCTCGAAGCATATAGGTGTCATTCAGATTTCTTGCAAACTACAGCCATAACAACCACATTAAGAAGAAAATATTTGACAATTATCATATCAGATCTTATTCTCGTCACTTAAAGTTAAAACATGCTATTGATGCGACAAGAGTGTATTTTTATGTGTATGATAAAGGGCCGGTTTCCAAAACGGCCCCTTCTCTGATTCAAATTTTCTGTTGGTGGTGCATTGCCCATGCCGTTGTGGTCACAAATCTATAAAGTATAAAGATTTAGGTCACTTGGTTTGTTTTTTATGGCTCCTCAAAGTTGTACCTTTCAGAAGCTGTCTAAGTGTTGATAAAATGTGCATGTTATGTAAAATATTAATGAAAATCTAATCAAATGATGGTCACCGTAAAGAATACATTCATGGCATGATTGTGACAAAAAATCATGTTTCCATCGCGCCATTTGGCTGTTTTATGGAAGAAACAATCTCAAAAATGCCATTTTCGATGATAACATTTTAGACACAAAAACTGTGTTTTTTAGAGAATACACCCTTTTATGGGCGTTGGATGCAAACCAATTTTTATCCTATTAAACAGTACGTAATATGCTATTGATGAGAGGAAAAATCATCAAAATGTAAGTGGTGGAACATTTTCAAATGTTGGGTTGAATTAGCCTATGGTTGAATTGCCGATTTTCGACTTTCTTTAGATAATTAACAAAAAAACGAGAGTATTTGCTCGGTATGTTGAGAATATGTACACAGATATGAAAAAAAGTGAGAGAAACACTTTTTCATAAAAAAAATCCAAGATGGCTACTTCACAAGTCCCCGTGGTTGAAGACATTGGCTGACAAATAGACAGAACAACAAACAAAACGTGTTCCTTATGATTTTGGTTGGTTTTCGCATTTACGGGAGTGTTCATAGCTACGGGCGATTGTATAATACCTATATTTATAAGTTTGGTTAGTCACATGGTAACGGGGATCTTTCATATCGAGCCCCAAACATACTTTCGACATATGCACTCCGTTGCCGCATGGAAAACTATTTCAAGTTTTGTCGGAATTTCTTTACCTGTGGTTGTAATGGTCGAGGGTTTTCCAGCGTCCTGTAATACCCAAGGTAGTACAAGATACTGGAGATGTGCGCACACATTCCCATCGTTCTCTCTCCAACTGGGCACTGGCAGTAGTAGTCCTTTATTGGGGCCTCAACATCGGGTGAAACGGTGAACCGTATCCAAACGTTATATTTCGTTTGGCTTTTGTGTCGAGAATGTATTTGACATCGG